CGATGAACTCGGTTTGTCTTCGCGCAATAGTTAATTTGATTCATTATCAAATTTGACTAGAAAATTCAAAATATGAAACAAAACACATTACCTTGTAATGAGAAATGCGCTATTTCTGATAATTTTTTGTTTTAAACATCACTTATTACATTTGATATTGCAAAAGTCTTCACTTAAAATGAATACACAAATAAGAAATATTGGGTCCTTGTAGAAATCCAAGAAATTACAGATTATACGGTATCAAGTATATCTTTGTTAATTGGGGTTGGGGATATTAGAACGTTCAATGTGTGGCATTGGGGAATATTGAATATTCGTCGCACATTTTCAATGCACCTGCAGTTGAATTATAGACCGGCGTCAAAAGGCGAAATGTTGTTATTATTATTATACATACTTATAATGAAAATTAAAATTGTCGCGTGCAACGTCTTTTACACTCCATGACTTTCTCCCTAAGATAGCTCGGGAACCATCATTGATTCGGTTTGCTCACTGATGCCTTTGCTTGTTTAGCTGATTAAAAGGCAATCTAACATGACAATAATAAGGAAAGAAAAATGGAAAAATACGCCCACCTTGAAACACCCGACTAGTTCTATTTTGTCGAAGATAGTACATTCGGTCATAACCCCAGAAATGCAAGTCAGAATGGTTTGGACTTTGGTTCGTTTGCTCTGTCTGTCTGTCTGTCTGTCTTTCTAGTTGATAGCTCATTGCCAAGGTCAACCATGATTTTCTTTGACATTGTCACTTCTAAAGAGCACGGTCACACACCGGCAATCAGGCCACTCAAATCGTGTGTTTGCATGTGAACCCTTCTATTATTCATACCACTGCTCACAACAGGAGCTAAGAAAATGTAGGCCCGTGTGCAATCAGTCAGTCACCTTGACATCCCTCGATATGGAAATCAGAATCACACTGCTCACTCGACCTGCTTGTCTGTGAATGCCTAGAGCTAATAGTTCATTGCCAAGGCCACACAACGCGGCTACTGAATCGCTCAACTGTACAGAGAAAAGAGACATTGAACTGTCTTTCGACGCGCTGCTTTTGTGTAAAGCCTAGAACAGAAGTAAGGCAAAGGCAAAGGCAACCGAGGACAAACAACTGGAGCTGAAAATCTAAGAGCCATTTATTCATGCCTCGGTCATTGAACCCCTCATCTTTGATTAATTAGCTCTAAAGTCCTTCGCCGATTACAGTAAACCTAATTCATCACAACCTTTGTACAGAAGACGTCGAACTGTTGAGCAATTATTTACACATCATCCCCATGTTTGTTGTGGTTGAGGTCATATTCCATGTGATGCAAATGTTTGTAGATCAAATGTTTGGCATTACCTTTGTGGTGAATGTTTTAAAAAATTGCATCTAGAAATGTGATTTTTAGAATTGGATTAATTTCTGTTCTCTTCTCCAAGTCTGCACAAGACAAGGTGGGGAAGTTAATCCCACTTTCCGACCTAAATGATTCATAATGCATTATCAATATAAACGACAGTTGCCGGTCGTTAACACGATGTGATTATAATTTAACCTTCGTCCTAATAATCCATGGGTGTGCTTCCTGGAGTTCGATTAATCATTAATGTGATTTCAATGAATCTCACGATGTTTTTTGTTCGCGGTTTCTCCGCTTTTGGCTCTTATCCACAAACACACACACACACGCGCGCACACACCCTCACATGATAATGGAAATGAGAGATTATCCACAGAAAAAGGGTAATGCTAAAAGGAATGTAACGTAATCATTTGATTACAATTTTATACCAATTCAGTACGTCTTGTATCACAGCGTATTATACACAATGCTATTCTCAAAACGTGTTTGAAAATGTATTTTCTATGAGTATGACCACTAAAAACACATTACCTGGATATATAAGCATGGGAGAAAAGCTCATGATATCACAAGTTTTTGTGTACCCAAAAAATTGATAAATCTGGTAATTGCACTGCGCATTGTCCTTTTAACTCTCAAAAACCAAGGGGAATAACCTATTTAATAACACCATTTTCATTACCTCAATTCGGAATTTCGTTCATCAAGGGAGATGGAATGGTTCAACCGCCTCCCTGTTATTGTGCGCCATCCTAACACAACAAGGCCGCATCGCATTACCATAAAGCTGTGTGTGTATGTATGTGGGTGAGGGTTGGTGTGTGTGTGTGTCGTACGGATGCGCCCCACATGATTCTACACACATGCACTTAATATTATGCTGCTTTTTACACACACCGATCGCCAATATGTGTACACTCAAACGCACACATTTTTCCTCCTATCTTTTTTTTCTTCGTATGATGTTAGAGAACCTTTTGGATTTAGGGCAGAACTGTTGGTATGATATCATAAATGTTGATATACTTAATAGCTTTAGTCAAAGACGAGTTTTTCAAGAAAATGTTGGACGTTTATCTCAAAACCTTTATCTTCACAGATCGAAGCCAACATCACTTTGAGGTTTAAAGGGTCATTGACATTGACCTATATTCGCAACACTCTTTGCAAATAAAATATTACAGAGATGATGAAGTGGATTTAGGCAAAAATATGGAAGTATTCCCATTGATAACGTTGACATACACCAGTAGATATAGGCCTATTCAATAATTGAACCTCTATATTCTGCGTTAGATTTACAGGCCATACCATTTATTTATGTTACGCCTTTAGGATTTAATACTAAAGGAATAGATGTAACTGAATACAAAAATGAATCAATATTCAGTATAACTTGTACAACTCGCTTTTTTTTGTTAAGTGTAGAACATAATGTGAAGGTATAATAAACAGGGCTGACACATTACAAAAAAAATGTCAATGATTTTTTTGTCTTCTCTTCATAACTGTTCAGAATCAAAAAGTCCGAAGTAAGAAAGTTCAATCTATGCTGAAGACAATCTCTGCTCAGCTTCGATTTAATTCAATTCTGGTATATTGTTTAAAAAACATGCTGAATGAAAAGTCCGGGGCCTCATTCAATTTAGTTTACAAATTTTATATACATATAAGAATATTAAAAAATCAGTGCTTTTAGCAATCTCCATATTAATTAATGATTAAAAAACTAATAACAAATAATCATGAAATCAAACATGTTGTAATTATTCAGCTATAAAATTTAACTAGTTAAATATGTTCTCAACATTTTTTTAAATTGTCATATGCATACACTTTCCAATTAATAACTAATCATTTATTAACCAAGTTAACATTTCTTAAAGAATTTAATTAATATATACGTCAGGAATTCTTGTATTCAAATAACAAAAAGAAGCAACTGACAACTTGCCAAGGTTCATGTTCTGTTCAGAAACCACCAGCAACCATACCTAACAATTACTTTCTTCATACGATGTAAAATATGGACAGCACTTTCTGAGTAAAAATATATTAAATATACTACTTTTCAATATGTACGTTTAAATTTTAATATATAGTTTTATATATTAATTTATAGGTCTACATATATTTATATAATATTTATATATAACTTAATAATACCATCATATTTTTTCTCAAAAATGTCAAATCGCATTCCCCCCACTGGTTCCAATATAGTAGGGCAGATTTCGCAAGGCAGAATCCATACATCAAAGGTGGGAAACTAGCCATTCCCTTTACCATCCTACACAACGAAAATTGTAATGCATAGCTTCCAGGCGCTCACCAGTAAACACAATCAGCGGCGCACATATATATCCAGGCCGTGAACGGCGGCATGTTATAGGATTAACTAACTTATCCGTAGGCTCACTAAAGACACGCATCCTTTTATCTAACTAGAGTCCGTGTCAGCGACCGGACTGGTGTGCTAGTGTACACAACAAAGAACTATTTGAACCCAATGGCAACATACCTCTACCTGTCATGTGTGTCCTATCGGGGTATTGATAATGCGATTCGGTACCCCCAAAGGATATAGACAATGCAACGCATTGGCGAAGGCGCCAAGTGGGTCTTCCACCCACAAACGCATGATAATGCTGGGATCCGCTCCTGCTCCTCAACGTATAAAGTCTGTTTGGTAGAGACTAGGGTACACGTGTACTTATGTGTAGGCTAGCCATATAGACAATGTAAGTGGAATCTAAGTCAACATACAGCATGAAAGTAAGGCGGAAAAATGTGGAAGCTTATTAATATGGCGCACAGGTCACATAATTCATATTTGAGAAAGAATAAATACATGTAAATGCTTAAATTCTCACTGGTTGGTAATTGTTTTCGAGCAATTGCTATGACTTTATTTTTAGTGCAAGGGGACGTTTAGGGTCTTGAAACTGATTTGCGGGAGGGAGATATGAATGGTTATTATTATATTTGCATGTTTTGACATACAAATAGGCTAAACAACATAGTTGGCATAATGATACTCACATTATCTCGGTGGGTTAATATCATTGGGCATCATAATAGAAGCCAAAGGCTTCGATTAACTGACCTTCAGTATATTTCACAATCTTTATCTGTATCTTATCTCGGTTATATCCAAATGGTTTTGAAGAAGTATTTATCTGTGCAGTGTTGCAATTAAGATTAAATGACTAATAATCGGTGACTGACCTCTTGCTCCTGAAATCAACATTGAATACATTCTTGAAATTCTACATAAATCACGACTTCTTATGACTAATGTTGACGTTGTTTACGATCTGGATAGTTTTTCCATTACGTTTTCTTATTTCATCCATTGTCTACGTGACGTCAAAATAGTAAAAGAAGAAGATAAATGTGTGGGGATGCTATTATTCTCAGAATAGTTTACGGCTATTCTATTCTGGCTCCCCGTCTTTTTCTTCTTCTGTAGGTCTACTATTTATCAGTCCACGCTTGAGCGGGCTACCATAGAGCTTGTTTCCGAGAGAGAGAGGGGGAGTGGGAGAGAGAAGAAGCATTTGTCTGTATGAATGAATGAATGAAGAAGGGGGACTGGTAATGAATGAAAAAAAGAGGAAAGAATGGTGGGCCAAGCCACTTCGGATCATACATTGTTATTCATCAGGGCGATAATCACAGGGCATTAGCCCTAGCCTTTTATGTAGACAGGGATACTGCACGGAACACAGGAAGGCTGGTTCATTGACCGTTTTAAAAGAGTGGGTTCGCCACTGGGTAATTGATCGTAAACTGACAATCATGCTACTACGTACATCTGTTTAGGGGAGTATCCTGTCGAGGGGTTGTGGGTGGTAAAAGCCGGTCTTCAGAAGTGATAAGGTCGTGCTACGGTAAGGAGGTGCGGATCAGGGGCTCTCTGTATTCAACTTGTTCATCACGCATTATTGCTATATCTCTGCCTTTCTGGAACGCCTATTAGGAGAGTTGGCCACTCGCATTGGGATTGGACTTGCGGATCTTTAACAGTTTGTTTTGCGGGGTAATACCCAGGGTCTTTAACAGGTGCAGTGGTGTGGAATATACCTGGAGATTTCTCTGTCATCAGAAGAAGAAAAACATATACCTCATTATTCAGATCCACTGTATACTTCGAAGTTTGAAGATCGTTATTGATACTAAATGACAATAACTTATTCAAAAACAGTTTCAAGCATTGCCGATCAGCCTTTGTTTGAATATAAGCAGAATAACTCTGAGAAGAACATATTTGTGCAACACGCGGACACATTAATCATCTGAAGAAGCACGTGCAATGCCATTTTATCATCATTTCAATGGCCTTTGAAATCAATTTGACGGTTTGAATTGAGTCTGCCCTTGATTGTTCCTGAATTTATTTTCGACAGCTTCCACAGTTTGACGGTAAGAAATTGCAATACTTTAGAAAAAAAATGACTTGCGACTTTAGTAGGAAAAACTGAGTGTCCAGTACTAACTACTATATTTTGACAACAAAATTACTGTCTTGGTAATGTCTCTAAATGTATTTTTTTTAATTCACCAAATGTTTTCCATTTTCACTGGGCAAGGTGGACTATTTATAGTAAAGAAAAATACTTTCAGTGATCAAGAAAAAAATGCTCAACAAAACTATAGTTTCTACTTATTCTTTCTTGAAAGAAATATCTAGGCCTATGAATAATCCTATAAACAAATGCAATATAAATTGTGTTTTCGTATAATTGTCATAACCTGCCTAATAAAGGCTACAGTTATGTTTGAATCCACAAATCGGAAATACATTGATTAATCCACAACCAAACAAAATGCATACGGTGATAAGGGGGACATTTACATTTCTATAGGCCTATTAATTTTCCATCATCTAATGCTGATTTGACCACGACAATGTGTTGTAAGAAAGGAAGAAGAAATTACAAGTTATGTGTGAATCGGTTGAATTCTCTCTCTCTCTCTCTCTCTCCATTGCTTTCTATTTTGTTTCTCCCCGTCTTTCTCCCTCGTTCACTATATCATGTTTATGTTATTCGCAAGTTACATGCTTGATTTGGGTGGTGAAAAGGGATAGAGAAGAACTTCCCTTCATGCTTTGTTGTTTAGACCTAGTTCCAGAACATTAAACATTAAACCAGTGTGTCTGCATTTGCGTGCAATCAAGCACCAAAAGCAAAACTAGCCTAGGGCAAGAACATTTTGATAAAACGAAGGGGGAAAACGGTTCATTTAAAGAGTGCAACGACACGTGAGTCGCATGACTAGCCGATGTTCGCTTATTTTGCCGTGTGTACTCTATTTAGTCGTAGTCTCTTTTGATTTATTCGATTTTTCACGAACTGGTTCACTTAATCATTGAGTTGATTTGTACAGTTCTTGACGACCACATTCTGGCGGTTATTGGCCTCAATGTTTTCACCTGTGAGCCTTGTATTGAGGAACAAAAAAAGGGATATAGGCTATGCAAGTTTTACACAGCACAGTGGCGGCAACACTTCATTGATCAGAATCTTCATTACTAAATGGTCTTGACCTTTACATACGAAAAGACGGTAAAGGTTTATGATAATATAATATTGTATTAATATTTTTTACGAGTACTTGATTGTCATGTAATAAGCGTCAGATTGGCATGCATTAATGCCAGACAAAGTACCTACAATGATGCATATAACCGAGTTGCCGCCACTGTGGTGTACTTCGAGAGAGACATTACTGGGAATGATGATCAAATCGCGATGTGGTTCTTTAGTGCTTTTCCTGCCAAAATGATGTACTTGGTGCGATCAGGAAAAATAAAGTGTGTCGGCTAAGACATAATGGTGCCCTGACAAAGATAATTCAATTACTCGTTTGCTTTGGAGTGCTGGTTTGAATCCACAGTCTTCCTCAGCCCCCCCCCCCTTCCTACCCTCCCTTCCTACCCTCCCGCCCTCGTTGATGTAGCCCATCTGTCTGGGCTAGGGCAAGAACCCCACGATTGACCTAGTTCGGAAGGGGGAGGGTGGGTTTCCGTAACGGAAAAGCCCGAATCCCAAAGCATCAAAGAAAGTCATGTTGTCTCGAAACCTTCAGGCTTTAACCCTATTAAACTATTTTTTGGGGGGAGGGGGTTGCTAAGGGTGCGTGGTTGCAAATACTTTCGAAAATTCAAGCTAGGCAATTCGATAGACTTTTCCAGCTCATTAATTTATTTTAATTTAAATTTTGATGTAATACTACTTGAGAAAAAAGAAAAATCACCATTTAATTTCTAACGATATACATATTTAATTAATGTATTATTTTACGTACGATTTACTTCCTAATATGTTCTTGTATTGTAAGTATATCGAAAGTATAATACAATATAAAAGTTCGGCAAGCTCCCCAATCTCCCTCAAAATGTCTCTCGCCGGGCCTCCATGCCGAAAGCACGGTGTGAATCACCCTTCTCTTCACGCTCGGCAGCTAGAGTAGGCCCCTTACTTTGCATTCAGTGACCAGCAAAGGAAGATCGGGAGCTTCAGGAACAAAATGAATACAAGGCGATTTGACTTTGGAAGAGGATAATTATGTCAGGAAACATGCTTTTCATGTTACGCAGTCTTTACGAGAACCTTTGTCATCTTTGAAGCGATAAAGAGAAGGAATTGCCTGTCGTAACCTCCTGTAACTCGGGGCTGTTCGGAGCTCGCTCCAAGGGACATGGCACGGTGTAAGGCGAACGCTCTCCAGGGCAGTGCCTCTCATTCTCTCCTATTGGTTTCCCTCTCAATAATTGACCCGATGACAGATTGATGAAGAGGAACGTTAACTTGACATGAATCAAGGGAGAAATAGAGAGAGAGGAAGGGAGAAATAGAGAGAGGAAGAGGGGAAAAGGAGAGAGGAGAGACAATACTGTGGAAGAAAAGAGGAAGGGCGCTATACGCGTGTCCTTTCTGAGACGTATTCCAACTCGAAAGGCAGGTGATGAAGATGTACATAGTGTATCATAAAAAGATAATATGTGTGCTCCGAAAAAATATGAGTCTTACATAATTATTTCACATCATTCAGCAGACTGAGTATTTAGGTTTCTCTTCGATGACGAATATTAAAAACATGACGTAAGAAAAATAGAAATGTTTTAATTCAATTGAATTTCGATTTACCTGGTAAGTTTATATGGTAAGCAAAGAACATACGAACCGTTAAACTTCCGATATAAGGCAAGTTATGAAGTGAACTGAAAAGTGTTTTACATTGTTTTAGATTATTCATCAAACGTTAGACTATGACCTAGTTCTTGCCTCACACCCGATCTTCATTAGATCACCTAAAGCCATTAAAATAGGTACTAGAACGCAAACTTTGTTTGGAGACATCCTATGGGAAACGGCGTCGCCAGCTTTATAGAGTAGAAAGCGCGCGTGCTTTCCGTAGCAGAGATATCAGTGTTACCAAGCAGAATGGGAATGATGATAATGGGAACTGACAACATCAGTACCGGTAGTTCATCACCAACTCTCTTGCTTCTCCGAATCCCAAAAGCCCTGTACGCCATCCAACTTTGGATGACCCCTCAACATAATACACGCCATACTCAGACAAACAGGGTGGCAATCATGAGCGATCCTCAAGTTCGTTTACCTGGAGAACAATGGCCATGTGTTTTTATTTCATTTTGCACGAGAAGATGATTTATGAGTCTTGAATTGGAAATCACATTCCAGCAGAAGTGATTGTACATGGCATGTTTCATGATTATTCACTTATGTCTTTGCTTTATTTGTATTTGGTAGTTATAAATTGCTGTCACAGGCCTTCAAATTTCGTGGAATTTACGCCTGTGCACATTTGAGCCTGAATGTGCATGATGCGAGGTTTTACTCGTGATGGCAATTAATTTCTCCATATTCTATGCTCCTATTGCTATCATTTCTGTCATTAGAAATGTTGGCATATGGTTTGAAACCACAGACTAAAGGCCACTGTACCAGCAGTCGCTCAATCAAGGAGGAGCCATTTTAAAAATTGATGCTTACATGTACATGACCGCTGCCTGACCCCGTTACTACGAACCGTTCAATCTCCGACTTAAACAAGGGATTGATTTTTGATGAGGGTGATGCTATATCGGCCTATGGAGTTCGATTGTCAAGGGCATCCGACCAAGAAAATAGGTTGACGTGTTATCTGGCCGATCAATATCAAACGGCTGGGCAATAAAGAAGCATGATATTTATATTTTCGGGTTCCGCGGCTTTCTCTTTCTCAATCTCAACACTATTATATTCATCTTGATATATTTGTACCCCCAAGACCGCCATCGCACCCTGATGATGCGCAATTTTTCGAAGACAACAGTTTCTCTGGGCTGCTAAGCACTCAATATGTAGGCCTACTCTTTCAAAAAAGATAATTTTTTCGATGTTTCTTTGTTGTTATTGTTGATGATTTTGGAAAGTTGGATGGGACAATTCAAATTTATGAAACTAATGTTCTGAAAAGACCGGTCAGTATCTTTTAGCGTGATAAGTAGACTGTAAATAAAATGCCTTCTTTTCACATTATCTCTTCTTTGCTTACCTTTTGGAAAACATATTTTTAATTCACTACAGATCTTTTAATGCTCGTTGGAGCTTTCCAAAGGGAGCCGCCCCCAGCATTTTCACAGCTATAGAGAACGCATACTTTTTAAAAACATGTGATGGCTAATTACACGAAAGTTAGTTGACTTTTGTAAAGTTAGTTGTCAAAGAAAGCCACCGAAGCATTGAACGGAAACGTATTGCATCATCACCGAGCGCCTTCTATCAAGTCTTAACATTCTTGAGGTTTAGTTCAAAATTTAACAAGAAAACCCTAAGCTTCTATTTAGTGATCGTTTTTCTGCATTTTGAGGCGAGTTTCTTTATTTTGTGTTTGAAGATTGATTAATAGTATTGGTAAGAGTCGTTGCGTAAACCTTGCCCTTTTTGTCCGTGATTGAATATACGTTGATCTATTGTGGTCACATGAACCAGACATATTCCTAATGATTAAATACAAGTTCTTCTTTTTTACACAATGTTTTTATTCTTTATTTGGCTGAGAGTCTATCTTCTCCACAATTGTATTTTATTATCATTGAAACTGAATTTTAGAGAGACTGCCCACAAATATTCTGAATAATATATATTTTGTAATACTCATGAGAAAATACGAAAATAAAGGTAAAACGTTTTGGACGGGACAGTATACACTTGTAGTTCCGACATACACCCTGTCTTTTTGTATCTCTCTTTCGTGCTCGCCTAGAAGCCTCATCAAATTAAATAAATAGTACTTAGCAAGAATATTTTGTATATTTTGTAATAAATTCCTTGGATCTTGTGCAATTTTAATTTTCGTTATTATCCGAAAACCTTCCTCCTGTTTAGAAGCCATCCATCACTGACAGT